GAGGGGAGTTTGGGGGAGAATGGATACATGTGTATGTATGCCTGAGTCCCTCTCTGTTCACCTGAAACCATCACAACATTGTTAACTGGCTATTCTCCAATACAAAATAAAAAGTTTAAATTAAAAAAAAATTTGTGTGTGTGTGCAATAAAGTTTTATTAAAGTATAAAGGAGATAGAGAAAGCTTCTGACATAGACATCAGAAGGGGGTAGAAAGAGTACCTGCTTGTTAGTGTTAGCATATAAAAGGAATCATGGCTTATAGCAAAGGCGGGCTTGGGCTGGACCGACAAGGGATGATGTGGAAAGTTCCTGCTGTGCCCTGGGGCGGGGACGTCTAGGCGGGAAAGAGACCCAAGTGCCAGAGATAACAAACAGTTGCAGGTGAGCAAGAAGGAGCTTGCAGAGGCACGGGCCCTTTCCCAGGTTGTGGTAATGTGGAGCGGAGCATGGGAGGAGCAGATGAGGTCATCTGTGCTGGCCGATGCCAGGAAGGAGGAGGCAGGCCCTGGCTTCTCAGATGTAGGGCTGTGCCCTCTGGACTGTGACCACCTAGCAGAATCCGGGTGATGGGGCCGTGTTGATGACCCCAAAGCTCAGAACTTGGATGGGGTGACAGAGCAAATGCGGCTGGATAATTAATCTAGAGTGTTCCTGAGGACCTGGAGCACAGCTGAACCTGTTGAAAACCTGCTCTTCCTGACTTTGCGGGGGAAGAGAAGAGCATCGATCTGAAGTCTTATCAGCTGGAACCAGAGGTCTGACATCCAGATCGTCATCTGTTCTGCCAGTTACCTGCCCTGGAATCTCCTACTGCCCTCCTCCACCGACTGATGGTTAATTCTGTGTGCCATCTTGGTGGGGATAAGAGTTGCCCCAAGAGCTGGAGGAGATGTTTCTGGGTGCAGCTGGGAGGGGTGTGTACAGTAGTGATGGGAATTGGACCTGGTTCAGCAGAATTCCCTCCCCAGTGGCAGGGGGTGAGGGGGGGGCATCACCCAATCCATTGAGGGTCCAAGCAGAATGAAAGGCAGGGGAAGGGCGAGATAACTCCCTGCTTTGAGCCAAGACCTCCATCGTCCCCCTGCCCTTGGACAGGGGTCTCCTGGTTTGAGCCTCCAGGCTGACATCAGGGTGTATTCCGTCAGCCCCCTGAAGCCCAGCCTTCAGGTTTGGACTGAACTCTCTTGGGCCTCCACCCACAGGGAGCAGGTCCTAGGGCTTTGCCTCCATAATGGGTGAGCCGGTTCCCGTAACAAACCTCCCTGTGTCTCTACAGACCCTGTTGTTGTGTTCAGTTGCTCACTTGTGTCCGACTCTTTGTAACCCTATGGACTGCAGCACACCAGGCTCCCCAGTCCTTCACAGACACAACTTAGTGACTGAACAACAACAAACAGCATAATTTATTAAATTTAATACTTCGAAGGATTTGGGGGAATTTTTGCTCTAGTTGTGTGTCCCACTCTTTGTGACCCCAATGGACTGCAGCATACCAGGCTCCCCTGTCCTTCACAGACGTGACTTAGTGACTGAACAACAACAAAAAGCCATAATTCATTAAAATTATTACCTCGAAGAATTTGGGGGAATTTTTGCTTTAGTTGAAATTAGTTTTGTTTTCACCAAAGTGGTTTCACCCCAGCCAGTTCCCATAGATGTGTCAGTTTAGCTCTGCTCAGCCAAATGTCAGTTTGAATGAAACATGTGACTCACATTTCAGACATGAGCAATTATCAAATACTTAAAATGTCTGCAAAATATCACTTTGATGGAGGCAGTTAACAAATTTGTAAATTGAAAGGAGTATTGAAGCAACAGTCTATTTTGAAAATCTGTTGGAGAGAAACACACCCCATTCACCTACAGTTCTTAAGGCCACGGGTTTAGCTACTCCATCTTGATAGGAATCAGTTCCCTTCCCCAATATACTAAAAAAAGAAAGAAAAACCCAGAGACCACTCATCTCTGTCAGGTTATGGTTCAATGTTGACGTGAACTGACAGCAACAAAACCAATTTTCAAGCCACAAACTAAAAACTAAAATATCCAAGTGAACAAAGAAAACTTCAGAGAAATATTTAGAAACTGCTCAGAGCATCTTATCCGATGTGAATCTCTAATCCTTAGCGTCCTTAGAGATAATTGTTTGGTAAATTGGGGATGAACAGCAAGTTGACAGTTTGCAGAACTAGTCTTAGCAAGTGGACTTTCACAAAAATGGCTTTTGGAGGCCCAGGTTTCCTGATGTGACCTAGAGCCAGGAACTTCCACCTGGCTCTGCAGTTCCCCTGGGGTCTAGACTGGGTGGGGCTGCTTCTGAGCGGGTTGGGTAACCTGGGGTCCCCACTCCAAGGTCACTCAGGCCCCCTGGAGTCGATGTGAAGCCGTTTCCGTAGCCCCTGCAGTGTCAGGCGGAAGAAGAAAGGCACTCAAACGCAGGCCCGCAGCTTCGAGAGGCTGGTCCAGCCTTGGTCCCCACCAGCCCACCCAGCAGACCCCGCCCAGGCCTACTTCCTCCAGGGGAGGGGCTGCCAGGAATCTCCATGGGAATCAGCTGTGCCGGTGGAACCCTGAAGTCCCTCCAGGTCCTTCTCTCATCAGAGCCCTGAAACAAGTCACTTCCTCTCCCAGACTCACGATTCCCTCTCTGTTCCCCGGGGCAACACATGAAGAGAAACTGCTGCGTCTTTCTTCTTGTCTTGTGGCCCCAGCAAGCCCTTTTCAGCAACAGCTCAGCAGGGATGAGCCTCAAAGTTCACACACCAGCCAGAGGCCGCTGGTGGCTTCATCTCTCTCTCTCCCTCTGCGAGCTCTAACCATCCATAAACTGCTTGCATTATTCTCAGTGTAACATCTTTACACACACGGATATGGAGAGTAAAATAGCTTCCATGTATTAGCATCCTGGGCTTGCCCTGTGACTCAGCGGTTAAGAATCTGCCTGCCAACACAGAAGATGCAGGAGACCCGGGTTCAATCCCTGGGTGGGGAAGATCTCCTGAAGAAGAGCATGGCAACCCACTCCAGTATTCTTGCCTGGAGAAGCCCTTGGACAGAAGGAGGGCTACAGTCCACGGGGTCACAGAGTCAGACACAACTGAAGTGACTAAACACACACATACATTAGCATCCTAGCACCAGCCAGCCTAGGGAACTAAGTGCTTCCGGGTTCCCTCCTCCCTCTCCTCCTCTTGCCTCCCCACCCTTCTCCTCCTCCTCTCCTCCCCCGCAGTCCTGGAGTCTGCTCTTCCCAGGTATGAGCCTCATGCTTCTTCAAAGTCAGAAGAATTATTTTTTTCTTTTTTTTTTTAAGGGACGAAGATCAGTTTTATGTGCCACAGGCTGGGAGATGTTCTTCTCAGAGGTTGTGGCCTCACAAGACAGTAAGATTAACTGGGATAATTAAAAATTAACAAATCAAAATTAACATGGGATTCCCCATGTTTCAAAGGAAGTACATGAAAGGGAAAAAAAAAAAATCTGCCATCGGAGTCATTTCATTAAAGAAAGGACATTTGAACTATAGAAAGAGCATATTCTCAGAACTTCAAAAACTAAATACATCAAGTTCATCCAAACATCTTTATTTTCCTTGTTTCCACGCAGAGCCTGGAGCCCTTCGCCCTGGACCAACTTGGCATTTAGGAATCTCTCATTTAGAAACTCACCTTCTGTGACCTGCATCCCTAAGAGGATGGGGACTTTCTGGGGGGGTCCACCCCATCCTGGATGTCCCACCCCTGAGATCTTGGGAGGGAGGAGCAGCCTCCGCCCCCTGCCTCATCTCCCTCTTATCTCCACCAGAAGCCACACCCACTCATGCCCTGGGAACCCTCAGGGACCAGAGCTCCTGCCTCTCTTCTCTGTCTTCCTCCCCACTCTAGCTCAGGCCTGAGCAGGGGACTGCAGGGAGACCCCGAGGACAGGGCTAGGATGGACCGTGCAGCAGGTGTGATGTCACGGGGCCCCAGTGACCCACTGAAAATATCCCTAAGTGGGAATACTTCATCAGTGCTACAGCACACCCCGATGGCCTGGCCCCACCCCCTCTGCACGGGTACATTGCTCTGTCATTCGCCCTCGAACAGGAAGAGGGGAGGGTAAAGGGCTGGGCAGGTGTTTTGCAATAGCCCCCCAGGTAGGTGGACTCTGTCTCTCCCCGCCCTGCACTGAGAACCTCTGCCTTGGCTCTGGCCAGGATGGTTTTTAGGAACCACACAGCAATGCTGCAAAAATCCAAGTTCCGATGCCACCTCAGCTTGACCTCAGAGGGTGGAAGGGGGCTGCTCTTCCCATCTCTGACTTCCGGCCTCTCCCCAGCTGCTCTGTGGGCACACGCACACCCAGGGAGTTGCTTCAGAGCCCCAACCCCAAAGGGCCCTGAAGGGCTGGAGCAGAGGGTTTAGGGGCATCTTCCTCCCTGAGCCATGTCTTTCTAGGATCTGATGGGAAACACCCCCCACCCCCCAAGTGTGATCCCCTCCCATTACCCCATCTCAGCATCTCCCACCCCATCATCCTTCCCACTTCTTGACCATCCCACCCTCCTTCAGGTAAGGCAGGGCTGGTCTTCCAGGGCACCCAACTTGGCTCTAGAATTCCCCATATCTCAAATGCAGTACACACACACACACACACACACACACACACACAGAGTTTTCTTTCAGCTGGCTACATGCAAAGCGTGATAAACACCACCAGTGGGGCAGGCGTGTCCCAGCCCTGGTCTGGACTCTGGCCCTAGGTTCTGATGGGAGCTCAGGCAGGCACTCGAGTCCTATCTGCCCCATCCCACCCATAGTGCTCCCACCACCCTCCTCAACCATGGGCATCAAAGATGGGCCTCCTGGAGTCGTAGGGTTCCCCACTAGGGCTGAGTGGAATGGGGAGAGGCTCAAGAGAACCCCACATGCCCCCGCTGGGACCCTTCAACGACCCCACCCAACCCCCACCCTCCCCAGCCCCCCTCTACCCCCATTCAAGCACAGTCGTACACCTTGGAGCTCACATCCCTTTATTCCAACCGGCGCATCACTTTGGGTCTCCTCACAACAGCTCTGCAAGGTAGGGCGCACCCCCGTCTCTCAAGCACTCTCTGTCTGGCTGGACAGATCAGACCCCAGGCCGCGGGGAAGCCCCTCCCGCCTACCACCGACTGTCCCCACATGGAAGCAGGGTTTGACCCAGCAGTGGGACCAGAGTCGGGCGGAGGCAGGGGGCAGCAGAGCAGGCAGGGGGTGGGGAGCCTCAGTTCTGGGTGAGGATGCGCACGAACTCCTTGTAGTTCACCCGGCCGTCTTGGTCCACGTCTGCCTCCCGAATCATGGCATCCAGCTCATCCTGAGACATCTTCTCCTCCAGCTGGGACGTGGCCTGCCTGAGCTCGTCCACGCTGATGTAGCCATCGTTGTCTTGGTCTAAGGCACGGAAGATTTCCTTCAGGCCCTCCTCTGTGGCCGAGGTCTGAAGCTCTGAAGCCATGGCTCCCAGGAACTCCTGGAAGCTGATGACGCCGTTGTTGTCTGTGTCCAGCTGGGTGATGATCCCCTTCAGCTCAGCCTCTGACAGCTTCAGTCCCAGCTCCTGCATCACGGTGCCCAGATCCTGCACATTGATGGTGCCGTCCTTGTCCTTGTCGAATCTGTCGAAGGCCTGCTTGAACTCTGCCACCTGCTCTTCGGACAGCTTTTCTGCCATGTTGCTCGCACCTGCTACGGAGCTTGCCAGCTTGCTGTCAACCTGCTCGAGGGGCTCACGTCAGAGCTGGGACCAGCTCAGGATCAAGGCTGTGTGTGTCTGAGAACACAGCTCAGGCGGCAGCCTTGCCACTGCTGGGAACCCCCTCCTTTTCTGTGCATCCCAGCAAAGGGAGGAGGACTCTCCCCACCCACCCCACGTCCCGGGGCGAGATCCTCCTCCCAGGGAGGGACAGCAGACTGCAGACAGACGAGAAATGCAGGAACTGGAGAGGCGGGCCCGCCCCAGGAGAGGCTGCAGAGAACCAATGTGGCCAGGCCTCGCCCACCCCGGCAGCAGAGCAGTGCCCACGGCACTCTCACAGTCCAGCCAAGCTCAAGATGGGGGTCTCAAGACAACTTCTCCAAATTTAGAGACTGGCATGGGGAGGGGAGAGGAGCCTCCCACAGCCCTGAGGACCAGGAGGGCTGTGGCCAGCATTCCTGTTCTCTCTGGGGCTGTCCAGCCCCCATCCTGCAGGGTGGACTATGGTGGTAGAGCTGAGTGGGATTCTCCCAGAATGCACTGTGGGCATCATCACTCTTCAGTCCACAGTGGCCGGCAGGTCCTCAGGTAGGGACGCATCTGCCTGCCTTTGGCTTGGAGAAAGGTGGAGCTGGGGCGGGCAGAGCCTGCTGCAAGTACTGCTGAGATTCATTTATGAAGTGAATGTTCGAAGTGTGATTTCAGAGGCGAGAGGAAGCCTCCAGTATCCCTCAAGGTCCTCTCCTCTAGCTCCCCTCTAGCTTCTCTGATTCTGTCCCAAGTCCCAGGTTCTCTACAGAGACCCCAGGAAGGTGGGGACCCTTCACTTATAACTCCAGAGGGGTCCTGCCTGAGAGAGATGGGCTGGATCGGGCAGCCCCCAAACATGCCAGGGGTGGGAGGATGTAGAAGAGGTTGGTTGAAGCTGTGTACTTGGTCTGCCTTACGGTTTTATTAAGTCAGCCCTAAGCATGGGGACGCAAAGTGTCGGACACGACTGAGCGACTGAACTGTACTGAACTGAACTGAAGCAGAAAAAGTCCCGGGCTGCATGGTCTTATCTGTTTCATCTCTGCCCACTGCTCTGAAGCAGAGTTTCGACCAAGACCTCAGGCCCTGGGGACTGTACCCAAGTCCTTATCCCTGAGATCCAAGGCTGTAAAGGGACATTTGCCCTGGGGCCCCCATGGTGACTTTCTCAAGCAAATTCCCTCAAGATCCCTATAAATCCCCTGACTTGCCCCAGCTGTGCCTCCAGGGGAGGAGCAGACTGCTTCTGTCCTCCTGAGAAATTAGTAAATTCCACTCCTTCTGGTTCAGCCCATCAGACAGAATTCTGTCCTTCCCTAGAGGGCAGCTAGGCAAACACCTCTCCACCTCTTAGCCCTGCTCATCCACCCCCAGCCACCCTGAGTCCAGGGGACCCAGATGCAGAAAGAGACAGGAAACCTTCTGGTTGCCCAACTCCTCACATGAAGGGTTTCCCTGGTGACTCAGTAGTAAGGAACTCGCCTGCCAAGGCAGGAGACACAAGAGACCAGGACTCAGTCCCTGGGTCAGGAAGATCCACTGGAGGAGAAAGGGCAACCCATGCCAACATTCTTGCCTGGAGAATCCAGAGAATTCTCTGGATTGTCAGAGGAGCCTGGAGGGCTATAGTCCATGGGATTGCAAAGAGTCAAACACGACTGAGCACACACAGACATCATGAAGACGATCACTATCTCATTTCAGAGCAGAAGAGTGCAGAGGCCAATACATAATGAGCAATCAATTTCTCAATGAAACTAACGACTGTCTTGGGTGGAGGGTGTGGATTCTCCTGGGAGACCAGCTTCATAAGCCAGGTGGGGAGGGTGGGGCCGCTGGTTACTGGGACCAGTCCAGCTCCCTTGCTTATTTTTAAAGAATATTTGAAGATATAAATCTATGCTTTAAATTTCCTTTTCTTCTCATCTCGTTTACTCTCATCGCTGAGTCCGCACTGTAAGTGGAGAGCTTTGCAGATACTGTCAGGAGACTTGAACTCTGGGTTCTAATTCCATCCTTGATTTGGGGACTTAATTTGTGTGTCTGTATCTTCAGCTATGAGATAGGATAATAAGTCCCTGTATCTGATCAGGCCTCTTAGGATCAAAGCTTGAAGCTTCTTTGATCAACAGAAGGTGCTGTTATTCCATAACCACCTTGTGTTTTGTTGTTGTTCATTCTCGCAGTCATATCTGACTCTGCAACCCCATGGACTGCAGCACGCCAGGCTTCCTTGTCCTTCACTATCTCCTGGAGTTTGCTCAAACTCATGTCCATTGAGTGGGTGATACCATCCAACCATCTCATCCTCTGTCATCCCCTTCTCCTCCTGCCTTCAATCTTTTCCAGCATCAGGGTCTTTTCCAATGAGTCCAGCTCTTTGCATCAGGTGGTCAAAGTATTGGAGCGTCAATTTCAGCAGGGACTCTCAAGAGTCTTCTCTAACACCAATTGATTCAAAAATATCAATTCTTTGGTGCTTAGCCTTCTTTATGGTCCAACTCTCACAGCCATACATGAAAAACTGGAAAAAACCATAGCTTTGACTATGCAGTCCTCATGTTTGCATTTGGTGTGAACCAACACTTCTAGAAGTATTCACTGGAAGAGGATCTTGCTCTCAAGGCCAGCAGGTAAGGGGACAAGGATGGCCGCCTGGGAGGCTGGGGGCTGAGGATGAGGAGATGGGGCTGCCACACCCTGGGCAGCCCTCAGGCACAGGAGGAGGGAGGAGGGGCTACAGACCCAGCAGGGAGGCCATGGTCCCCACAGGGGAGCAGGATGGCTGTGCCTGCTGCTCGGAGGGGTGCTTGGTCTACAGAGGAAGGAGAGCCTGGAGCAGAGGGAAGGGGGAGACAGAGGAGACTCCAGCAGGTGGGCCAACGAGCCTGCCCTCCAAGGCCTCGTCCACTCCTGCCCCCAACCTCTGTCTCCCAGGGACACTTGACTTCTCCCAACCCCGGTCCTACAGGAGGAAAGATGATGGAGAAGGCTGGGACAGGAAGGGAACCTCTTCCAGTCTGGCCAGATGAGTCCTGAGGCCCTCGGGGCAACGAACCCACATACTCAGTAGCCATAAGTGTCTGTGTGTGAATGTGTGTAGCTGATTATGCGGGGGAGGTGTGCAGAGCCAGGTCGGGGGTGGCTCCACTTCCCAGGGACTGGACACGGCACCCCGCTGCTGTCTGGGCTCTGTGAGCAAAACACCAAGAACCTGCAGGACGGGTCTTGAGGCTCCTCTGCCTCCCAGACCTGCAGGGACCTGCCTGTCCGTCCGCCTGAGCCAGTCTCCCCGGGAACAGCCCTGCCCCGATCTTACCCAGGAGACCCACCCCAAAAAGAGGGAAAAGACACTGTTTAGGGGTCACTGCTGCCCACAAGACAATCCCCGCCCTCTGGCTCCAGCCTGCTGCCCCCACTGGGCCCCCACCCTGAACACAACGCTTCCACTTGGGCAGGGCATTGTCCATGGCTTTGGGTCTGGGCAGCAGGGGGTGTGGGGCTGGCCTCCCCACCAGCCTGGGGTGGGTGACTTCACCTCCCCAACTCCAGGGGCCTCCCTTTAAAGGAGACGACACAGCGCTGGCTTTATGGGCTGTCGGGGATGTCAGGGTGACACGAGCAGACAGGAGGCAGTCGCTTAGAGCCTGGCATACAGAAGGCACTCAATAATAGGAACTGTGCTGTCCCTTGCTGCCCCATTGCCCAAGTGCTGCTCTCCACCTGGCACCTCCACGCTTCCTCCCAGCATTTGCTTCCAGGCCAAAGGACAATCATCCTTGAAGGGGACCAGGGTGGCTGTTCTAAGGTCTCAGAAAGTCTTAATCTGAACTAAACAGTTGGGCTCCCAGGTGCAGGGACAGTGTCTGTCCTGCCTCACTCCTAGTGCTTCTATTGTTTCCTGTTCCTAGTAGCCCTCACGGGGTTGGTGCTCCTGGTGGAGGAGCGGATTCGCTGGATGAGCACATTCTACAGGACATGATCAGAGGCTGGAGGCCAACTTTCCAGGTCTCTGTTGCAGCAGATGTGTGATTCTGGGACTGCCAGGGGGTGGACATCACATCACGTGTTTGCGTCTGATTGCTCTGCACCCACAACTCTTTGCCGGCCGGGGCGGCTGGGTTCTCAGGGCCCACAATTACCCTGCACAGGGCAGGCTGGCAGGACTGTCCTCTCCCCTCTTTAGGGGAACTTGGCAGGATGCATGTCATGCTCCACTCACTGTCCACGCACATGCCTGACCCGGTAACAGTGGACTTGTCTTCCAGCACTTTCTGTAAGAAGTGCTTCCACTGAGTGCTTCCAGAGGGCTGAGACTTATCCCAGGACACCGGGATAGGCACTTATCCAGGGAAAGGCACTTTCACTTTAACCATGCCAAGAGGAAATCTTCCTAAGGTCTCACGTGTTTTATTTCTCATCACTGTAGAACAGGCTGGAACGTCCCTCCGGTGGTCAGAGGAGATGAGTGTGGCCATCAGCTATGTTGCAATGCCCTACTACCCACTGGGACTCGGGCGGGGTGCTGGCCACTCGATACACTGTCCTGGCTTGCTGTTTTCTGGTTGGCCCTCCCCACTTCCCGCCCAGAGTCCCACGGAGTCCTCTCCATCTCTGTTGGTGATGTCACTTGAGGAAAAGCCCGGAGTTGCCTGCAGCACGGTGGGCCTGACAAAGCAGAAGATGGGGGGCTTCCCTGGTGGCTCAGTGGTGAAGACTCTACCTGCCAATGCAGGAGCCATGGGTTCAATCCCTGATCCAGGAGGATTCCATGTGCTGCGCCGCAACTAATCCTGTGTGCCATAACTACTGAGTGTGGGCTCTCGAGCCCGGGAACCGCAACTACTGAGCCCAAGTGCCCTAGAGCCCCTGCTCCACACTAGAGAAGACACAACTGGAAAGTAGCCTCCCCACTCAGCAGCTAGAGAAAAACCCATACAGCAATGAAGACTCGGTGCTGTAAAAAATAAATCCTTCTTTTTAAAAAAAGAAGATGGGGACCCAGTCCTGAGCAGGGGACACTCGTCTCCCTGTGCTTGTCTGGGGAATGCTGCCCGAGCCGTGCAGGGGTGCTGGTTTAGCCCAGGTCAGGGCTGACGCCTCGGGAGTGGAGGCAGCTCTG